GCTTACGTTGTGTGGTGCAATGATTGGGACGAAACCATTCCATGGCCGTTAGAAACAAAAGAAAAGAGATCAAAGAAGTCGGAGGTGTAAAAGGTAAGAAAGCATACACTGTCCACACTAGAACCATTACTTCCCAGCAGCAGCACTTTGTAGCTTGCTTTCTCAGTTCATATACCTTTGGTTTATAGTTACAAGCATGTTTTCCTTCCACCAGCAAGTTCGCGAAAAGCTGTTTATTCTCGGGCATTATACTCTCTGCCTTTATTTCCGATACTTAAAATTATGTGTCCATTGTTCATTAATCTCTGATAATGTTATGCAGTTTTATGACCATTCTCTGACCGTAATTTAACATATGCGTAACAACAGTTCAAAGTTTCACAGCACTGAGAAGTAACGGAAGTCAAGGTACTGTACTATTACATTGCGGTCTACCATATCAACATCCATGTATTTATTTTACTTGACACAGGATAAATTTCGTTCTCTTGGAATGATGGTTCTTTTTCAGTTAGTCTGCTAGTTATCAATCACTGGCGCCTAGAATTTATCTGTTAATGATAAATAAGACTGGCAATACGATTCTGCAATGCCACGCCCCGTCTGCATTCTTCATTGACGCACGTCATATCAGCATTTCCCGGTAACCTGAAGACTAGATAAAAAATGACCTACTTGTGGAAACTATAATACAAACAAATCGTTGTAGATCATAATGTTCTCACTTCCACACTGTCGGGGGGGGGAGATACATAAAGGATGTATATTTATAGTATCTAAATATAATGTATTCTATCCCTGGATTTGATTCTGGCAAGCTGCCAAACTTCCTGGTTTATCCACCGATAAGAACCACGATATCGTGCCGAGTCCATTATTGTGAGTGTCTTGTCTGGCTACATTCCTTTCCAAACGCAGCCAAACTTCCTTTTCATCACACCCGCCAAAACCAGTCTCCCCTTACCCGCACAAGCGCAGTCTGCCGATAAAACGCGCGCAATGGAAAATTTCCACAACTTCCCAAGCGCGCCATGCCGCCGGGTCATTCAACCCCGTCTCTATGTTGCAGACGAATGGAATGGTGCAGACAACCCTCCCGGTTAGAAAGAGATGGAAATAGACGCAACGCTTGACCTCGTAACGTATTCTCATGGCATTCCCTCTTTTCCTTCTAGTGCTGCCATTACAGCACAGCGGCTAAAATTTGGCACTGAAACTACCAACCTCTGATCACCGAAAACATTTAATTTTCGGCTCAAAAAGTAAAATCCACAAGAAATGCCGTGTTCGTATTTATCTACGTCTACATTGATCGGATAGCATCATACATTCAGAACCTGGCACTCACCATTTCCGCACAGACCGAAGTATACCGTCAAAAGAGTACTCTAAACATCTTTCTGAGCGAAAACGCGTATTTCCGTTATCTCTGGTACAAAATGGCGTTATCAAAAATGTAGTGATTTGCAAGATTTGGTTCTCAAGCACTGAGTCATCTACAATTCTACGTCAGTACTTGATTAACAGCTCGTGAGTACATTTTGTTTACTCTTATGTATTAATGTTCATATCACATCGAGCGTAATGGAACAGGTCCCTTGACCTAGTAGACTTGTTGCTGATTTAACTATCATAACCCCGACGGTGATAATGAATTTTCATGCGCTAAAATTCAGTAAGTTAACTGAATCAATCGTATTATGAAAATTATACGTTTAGGGTCAGTTCTATCCGGGAATAATCGCCAATTTTATAAAAGACTGTCTAAAGCTGTGCTGTTTGCCACAGCTGGTAAGTTCTTGTACGTAACCTTGTAATGTGCAAGTACCAACTTTCAATATTCTTCGTTAGTACGAATCCAAATTCCCCCATATAGGCCTGCTGTTGTCTGTCGTAAAACGACAGTCGTGATGTTTTGAAAGAACTCAAGAAGGGAAGAGTATTAAAGGTGTATGAGTGCGTGAAGAAACTCAATGTGCAAAAAAACAGACATGAGATCGTTATATAGTCATTCTACATAACCTTCATGTGTACGATCGTTCAACTTCACGAGGAAGAGGGTGCGGTTCAAAGCTACAGAGTACGGTACCCTGTTGACCTTGCACTAAGAGGTTACGGAAGCCGACGTCGCGTATTGATCCAGGTCAAAAACACTACCAACCATCCCTACCACCGCGCGACTTCGACCCCCTACCTCACTATATAAAAACAAAACATGATCACCGATACTACATACTACTTCGTATGCATGACGGCAATAAACTCTGGCCGTCATAACAGAATGCAGTTCTACTGCGACATCCCCCCCTATATATATATATATACACACACCATCCAACTTCGTAGGAAGCATCGTTAAAAGGAATGCCAACAAAAACACGGCAGTAGAAACTCCCAACCGGACTTAGTAAAGAAAATACATACGTAGTCCGCTACACGAAACTGTGTTGGATTGGAAGCTCGTCTTTGTGAACGGTGTTGTTCAAATTCAGGGAGGAAAAATTTTGACAGTGGAACCACAGTTCCGGATAATCTGACGTAAATACGTCTCTGTAATGTAATAATTCTTATATAAGATAAGTACTTGTGATATTCTACCAGCACAAAATTATCTAGTCTACGACGCACTTCTTCTACATGCAATCCACAGCTCAGCTCTTTCCGTCTCGAAGACGGTTTCTGCCTCCATCATCAGGGCGATAAGTAAAATCGTAATTATTAGAATTGAATTAAAATCAAGTTCTTCAAATTTATAACACATGATAGCTCAGTCAGCAGCACGACCGGGGTTTGATTCTCCCCTTCATTGCCACGTCCAACCAGATGCTGAAAACCTCCCAGCCCTGTATCCAATGGATAACGGAAGCTGTTCCCCTGAAGATAATAGGGGCGGAGCGTAACACTAATCTTTCGCCTCCATCTAGTGCTAACAAAGTGTGCAACTGTTCAATGTAGATGGCCAAATCATTTTTTGAAACCTCGAAGTATAATCCAATATGAAATATTGTTCCTGGTAGTACAAAGCATGTTACGGCCACTGTTCACGGTCACAATTAGGAGCGTAGAGTCAAGACCACTAAACGAATAAAATGTGTTCTTATACTTTGTGAAATGTAAGTTGCAGATACGATTATGTTCATCACATGCTGCAGAAATATGTAAAGTACACAGCTTACAGAGACTTGTAACCTGAGATGTGCAAAAAAAAACTAAAGAAAGTTCGAGACTTGACAAAAGATAAATTACCACTTAGTTCCACCACAAAACTTGTACATTGCACTATGTGAATGCTTACATTATATCACTGTTGGCATTTCTGCGCATACTTGTATTTTATTATTTTTCTTCCAAACGAGCGGAGTATGATTACCAGAAAATAACTTTCCAAAGTTGGCTGCGAAACAGAAGTTACAATGGCGACCTCTCTGTCATTAGTAAATTTGGCTTTCAAAGTTGTCCTAATGTCATCTAACAAAGTAAGACTTTTCATCTCAACTTCGTGATCGTTGGGCGAAAAGTTTTAGACATTTGAAGTGTGAAGTATTATTCCCTATGGCTTAAAAAATAATTACTATTTGCGAAAGCTTATGGAACAATTGCTGCTAGACACAGAAAGCTAGTGTGCCAGGACCAAACAAGAGCTGATTGTAGTGCAGTACTAAAATTAAGAGAAACGTGCAAAAATTGTATCGTCAGACATTGTGAAAACATGTATTCACAAACTCCAACATACATGAAGATTTCTGGGTTGTTGCGCTGTGTAGTCTGGTCGATGTTAACCAACGTTTCAGAGGTCATACTGCCTCCGTCATCAGGGCGATTAAAAATATGAAGATTTCTGTCTTCTGGGTTGTTGCGCTGTGTAGTCTGGTCGATGTTTGCCAACGTTTCAGAGGTCATACTGCCTGAGGCAGAAGACAAATCTTCATACTCTGATGACGGAGGCAGTATGTCCTCTGAAACGTTGGTAAACATCGACCAGACTACACAGCGCAACAACCCAGAAGACGGAAATCTTCATACTCACCGCTGTGAGAACCTCAAGTCCAACATACATATGCGTAGGTACCGTAACTGATGAAGCAATTAACAGATGTTGCTCAGGACAACGGTCGAAATGAGACAGGTTTATCAACAAGCTCTTCAAAAACCAACACGTGGAGTGATTAAAAGAGTCCAATGATACGTCGTAAATAGTAAGAACATGATTACTTTACTCTAATTAAAACTGATGTAAGGAAACAACCAGCATAAGAATCGATAAATAAACCACGGGTAGGTCTGTCTTAGAATGCAGACAGCATTGAGGCCGCGAGCCAAGAGAAGCAAATTTGGTTCAACAGTCGCCCCCTCACGCCCATAACTAATACCTTGGTGATGCAGTCCACCAAAATAAGCGGTCGTCCCGAGAAAAGAAAATGACGACTCCGTCACTGAATTTAGAGGACAGATTCATTCGTAGGCTGGAATTACGCGTTACGTTGGTCTCACTTCAAAAGCAGTTGATGCAAGTTCTTTTTAAATAAAATAATTCCGGCGGCTTAGAGTGCAATTATTGAAGGCAGACAATGACGATGAGACAGAATGTGGCGACGACAGGGAAGGAAAGTCTAATGAACTTTCACTACTGTTAATAAAATTTCTCCTTCCACGAAAACTTGCTTCAACTTCCTAAACACAACAGGCACAAGTGGCCAGCCTATAATCTCTCACTCTTCACACCAACTTCAATACGAAGGGGTGGAAAAACTGTTTTAAACACATGAAAGCAACACTTTTCTATTCACAATACTATCTTGTTCCTGGTTCTGCAGTGGTCAGTGTTCTTTGCCCTAATTCTATCAGCACTCACATGTTCCTTTTCGTGTGTGCACCGTCACATAAATCAGTTCCTTGCCAAAGAAATAAAATTCCGCCGTGAGTATAAATGTTCCGTTCCGTTTATATTGTTTGGGCGAAAGCCAGAAAGGGGTCTGTCTGCATCATAAAATGACGCGAGCAAAATATTTTCTTCGAGCTAAATTAAAGTATCGATTCAGCAACTCCTGGAAAGACAAAATAATGTTCTCAAAAATAGAAATTACACGTCATCGCACTACATGTTGGTGATACAGCTTTCTTCTGGTATTCCATGATTAATAAGAAACACAGGCTTCAACTACGGTTTTAAGAATTGCTAAATATGTGAATGTGAAAGGAAAAAGAGATAATCCAAAGGAAGACATTGCGTGGATGTCCTAAATGAAGATAGGTCAATATTATCAACAGTGACTGTAGAGAAACGCGCTTTGATTATGTGGACTGAACTGGTTCAGGGTATAAATGCAACCTTCTTCAGGTTCTGCAAAAGCTAGGAATGTCAGTATCAACTCTCGAAGAAAAATGTGTAAATAATAGAAATTAGTAATGAAAGAAATCATGCTACAGTCGTCTGTCATGTAAATGTAGGAAGAAAACTAATCAAAATAAAATCTTGCCTTGATGTTATTAAAGAACTTTTGCACAATCTGAATTACGATAATCTCACTCAGATAAATCAATCACGGCTCAATTCGTGTTTCAGAATGTCGTCTTTCCTGCACTCCCAGACAAAACTACAGCTGTTGCCAATCAGAGTACTACACGGATGAATGCTTACTACTAGAAATCATTCATGCCGAGGTAAGCAACGTCTGTAACAATTATATGGCGTTTCTGATGCTGTGGTTCAGTTTTAAGCACTTCGGCTGCAAGCGAAATGTTACACATGAAGACAGGGAGAGCAGTCATTTAAATACTGTGATCAAGAAGGGTTTGTTTAAGTAGTCGCTTAAGCAATGAAGGAAATTTGCCATGCATTTTCCTTTCTGTAAACATGACAGATGCCACTGACGATTTTTCAATTCTCTGTCTCAATGAGCATCTTCGTTACTTCCGCACGGAAACACCATGCCATGAAGGCATACTTGGTCCATTGAGGTTATCTCAGCCCCTTGTTGTCTCGGTACTAGATTGAAATCGGCTATCGTTTCCCATTTCTGTAGAAAGCCCTCAGTACCCATTCAAAAGAAATATAAACCTGCCTGGAACTGAACCCCGGCTACCCATATCGTAGCCAGCAACTGTGAAATGAGTTACTCAGCTTCTCTGTTTACCCCTGGTCTGCGTGACGTCTGCTTCGTGAATCAGAATAGGGCAAAATACTGCGCAATACCTAAACCCACTTTCACCCGTCGTGACTGAAATTTAACAGAAAAGAAAGTGATATTAATAAAAAAACGTCACAAGTTGCATAAGCAGTTGCTGGCAGGCTAGTTGGTTGGTTGGTTGGTTGGGTTGCTTCTATAAAAACTGATTTCACCATTCGGCTTCTGGAACATCGCTATGCATGCAGTTCCGAAAATACGTTGGTGGTAACTATATTGCCTGTGTTGTGAAGACAGCATATCTGTGACATTTATATAAGGAAACTACAAAAAAAAAGCTTAAGATAAAGAGAATGTTGGCCTGAAAAGGGGGGCAAGATACTTACAAACGCCGTACATATTCGAGTGAGACTAATGGTACATAGAAATTTCACCAGCGACTCATTTCCACGTCGCTCTAACGTTTTCATTGCAAACCCCGAGTATATTCATCTTAGATATAGTGTCTGCAGTACCAGTTCGTCCAGTTTTGCCTTTCATAATCCCTGTATTGTATGTTTCGTGAACGTTTTAAATCTATCACAAGACAAAAACAAGTGTTTAAAGAAATATCCTGTAGAGGAGATTCTGGACAACAGTAATAAATGAAATGCTGCCATTAATATATCTTAAAAAAGCTAAGAAATGTGGGCCTAGCAATTGCACAACAATTTGGCTCATTCGATCTGTTGCTGCTGCTTCCATTTTCAGGTCGTGGGTAGAGTTTTTTATGGTCTTATAAACAAACACAAAGAAAAAAGACAGGTCGAATGTGGAAGGATCTGGATCAGCCCAACGGTTCTCGAGTTGCGAGATGACAGCATAAAAATCCCTTTTGTTCAAATCTCGAAAACAATAAGCCTTACGGAACAGATTTTGTGCATAAAACGTTAACAGAGCGGGAAAACTGCCTTGCCCCTTACGATCTCCTGTTAGATCCCACGCGACGCGTCAATCACGGAGAAGTTGCCGCACAGTCACGGCGATGTCTGAGGGTACTGGTTGCGCATGGATCCTCGTCCTTTTGTATTCCTAACATCTGCACACACACAAAAACGCCCAATACCTAGTCTTGAACAACTACTGCGCTGTTTGTGTGGTGCCTGTGATAGCAATGCTTTCAAAGTCTGTCAAGAAAAACTCGTTTAAAAGTAACCTTGGATTATAACGGCTGCTTTCACCTATTATGTGACTCTCACTTTTAAACACGATAACATGTGAAACCTCACTTCAGAATGTCAAATTGTGCCATTTTAGTGTGTGTGTGTGTGTGGGGGGGGGGTGTAGGAAATACTTCCATATTCCTATTCGACAAGGATTCACAGACTTGATGGATAAGTAAACCTACATCCCATGTTTTTGGTACGAATCAAATTATCAACATCAAAGCCACGATATTGAAATGGAATTTTCATTCAGTGTGCTGTGTCTCTCCACTCCATGAAGGCATATGATGAAACCCTGGTAAAAAGTTCACGATCCGGCCGTTTTATCCCCGATTCTCATGGGATAAGGGGCCGCGTGCATTCTAGAGCCGGTCCAGACGTGAAAAATAACCCCCCCCCCTTATGTTACAAATCAAAATCCGATCACTAATTCACTAATCTCACAAACAATTAGATATCAATTCAATTATTCAATGTTTTGCGGTTTTTTGTTCAAATATTTCTTCGTTGTTCTACTGATGTCGAAAATGTTCTCCACCCTGCGCAACCCCCCCATCTCTCTGTGCCACGCCCAATGTTGAACCGTGTCGCACTGGATGTCGTTCGCTCATACACAGCATTCTATTTGTATTCCTTAATATATTGTATTTTTCTGTATGTATTCCTACTAAGTGTTACTTTTATTTTGTATTTCACCAACATGACCGATCAATACAATAAGCCAGAAGGGTGGAAGTGCTCTGAAGCATTCTGAACGTACGGAAACAGATTGCAAACTAAAGCAAAACGACGTGGAACAGTTCACAGCTGGAATGAGGAAATGAACAGATTTATGTCACTAGTAAAAGAAGATACCGGTTTACTTATACCTTGACCAAACGAGGAGAATAAATAAACTCTACACCTACTCTAAACTCTTGGGCTGTTTAACGATTTTAAATGATGCTACGCAAAAGTGTTTAATCCTATTTCAATTACATAATACACCGAGGAGGGCATTCATTTCATGGAAAGGCCACTAAAGACGTAACAAGCCCTGAAGGCGGTCATTCGAATCACGACCCCGAAGAACTATACTGTTACTAACCTGACTGCAAGTCTCATTAGTACCCCGGGTAGTATGTCCTTCCGTCGTAGTGTCATGTTTCATAATCACCGTATTTCTCAGCACTTGTCGTAGTCTTTGTCTTTAACTTATTTAGGTCAGACGTAAAGAGTTGTATATATCAAGGAGCGTGAGATGGGTGAGGTAAGTAGCACGCATGGGAGAGATGTGAAATGCAAAACTTTAGACGTTCTCAAGAGGACCTAAGCGAAAATAAGTGTAGACCAAAATTAAGATCGATGTTAAGCGAATGTTAAGCTTCTCGGTAAGGACTTTGCTCCAGAGCAAATTACGTCAATTTCTGCACAAGCCTTGAATGTCGTATTGTTACAACAAAGTATTTCCGTCAGTCACAAAAGGCGAATTTTAAGTAATATTAAGTTAGATTTTTTACATAAAACAGAACAACAGATTGACGCATAATCGACAATGCTTGAGTCTGTGTATAAAAACTATGGCAAACTATTTGTACGGACATACTACGAAGTAGGAAGCCTTGCTCTGGGACGTACAATTTGAGACTGCAGACAATTTCAACATGAAATGCTGTTACCTACATAACTGCGTCTCTGCACGCTCACGTCGACAGATAATGAAGACAAACACAAGAAACAATACGTTATTGATATTAGCATGTCAACTACTACATGCAGTATAACCTACCAACCTTTCCGATCCCTGAAAGGAGACGGCTGCAAGGAGAAACGTAATAAGCCCGAGTAAACAAATGTGCCCTAGCTGGAAACTACCGTTGAGCCGCCATTGGCTAGCTGCAGAACTGTGTCATGTTATGTTTGGAAAGTTTTCCTCGTCCGCGAGATATTTAGGTTGCAGCGACTGCATCAAAACATTACTGAAGAAGCTACATACACAAACAGAAAAAGAATGT